AATAAAGCTATTCATTCATTCATTCATAGTCAGTTTGCACTTGATTTGTGGTCAGTGTAGCATCTGGTTTGGTGCGAACATCTGGCTACTCAGAGCAAACAACTTGCTCCTCGGTGCTCAGCGATTCGGTTCATAGAGCATTATATTCGCTGCATTAGCAACATGGTATTCGCTGAGCCAGTATATCTGGTCACCTAAACTACTCCAAAGCACATGCTCGCATCGTATTCGTGAGACTGGTCCCCAGAGCCCACCGTTTCGATTGATCATGTGGTCAGCGAGCGGCTCTGGGACGAGAATAGGTGATATCTCCGGTCAGTGATCATGACGTAAATACAACAATCACAAAAAGTCGACTATGTTAACTATGTCTTCGGTGTTGAGAAAATTCAAAATGGACGGTTTGTTAGATCGGTTTGAAGAATAAAAAATATCGCCTGACATTGTTTGTAAACTGCCCCTGCATGAACTCAAGGAACTTGGCCTACAAAATCGGTGCGACATAATGACTTTAAGAATAGCCTGTGTAACGTTTGGTGCGGAATAACCAATGAACTTTCCAAGTGCTCTCGGACTTCCTGCTTTCGATGTTCCAAAGTCAGTGCTTGAATGTTATTTGGAAGAAGGCTTGCCTATCTCAGAAATTGCTAATATGATGTCATGAGGCCTGAAAGTCAGTAATCCCTGTGTATCATTGAAAGAATCGAGTGATACAAGACAGATGTTAGGGGCCAAAGTGGAAAGTCTAAAAGCAACTGTAGCTATATTCAGTGCAGGCCTAGGCAGGAAATAAGCATGGCAAACGGAGTTAGAGGGTTTCTAGAGTCGAGGGTAAGGGGTGTGGTATTGGAATAGTGAGTTGCTTTTAGACTTAACCCAAAATCAAACTTAGGCACAGGTTCTGTGGGTGCTCGCAATTTTTTTTTTAATATGCAAATCAGGTCAGTAATATATAAAGCAGATTACGGTACTTTAAATCAGATAAGTAAGTAGTGTACAGGGTATTTTCACAAAGAAAATAAGGAGACTACTTGAAAGCAACAGAAAACAGATATTTTTCAAAAGCAGCAAAGTAGATGATCGATCGATACACAAAACAGATGAAATCTCAAAGCAAACATCGATTCTCGCCCAAAGGCTGATACATGGAAGTTCAACAGTAGTTTCTTCGGAGAAAGGAAATAAGGTAATAGCTGTAAAGTATAAGCAGGAGAACGGAAAAGTAGAAAAAAAAGGGGGGATAAGAGAAAATTTCAGTTAGGTACTCGCGGCTGCTGGGCCTCGAACTCGGGCTGTCAGTCTACCAATCCAGTGCTGTACTACTGTACAATGAGATTTGCCACTTCACGGGAGGGAAAACTTTCAATCAAAATAGGTAAGGTGCATTTCAATATGGGTTAGAGGAGTGATCAWTTGAGGGTGTGTCTGAAACAATTTGGAAATAGAGATTTCATCGAGTGCTCCTCATCATGGTACCTCAAATACAACAAAACAATCATTCGAGACAGATTTTTCGATAATTTTTTTGTTGCGCTTTAAATATTCACCTCTTCGCCCCTATATTAGGATGTGGCAGAAGGGCACGGGTGCCTGCTTCCTTGCCTTGTAAAGACTGCGAAGGCATATACGTTCGCCGATGGTACAAACACCAAGTCCAGCTAACTCGCTGTCTGAAGCTGAAATTACGGTGTCAACTTCCACTTTGTCATCATTATATCTGTCAACTAGAGTTCCCAACTTCAGTTCTCGAGGTATTTGATCCATAAATTTAATAGATAAAAATGAGCTGTAAGGTTACGGTTTTTACGAATGCGGGAAGAAATTGCTCTTGACGCGTTATCGGTCTGTACGTCATGTATCGTACATGTTCACTGACCGTAGCCGCTCGGTGACCACGTGATCAATTTCAACGGTGGGCTCTGGGGACCAGTCTTACGAATACGATGTGAGCATGTGCTTTGGAGTAGTTTAGATGACCAGATATACTGGCTCAGCGAATACCATGTCGTAAAGGCACCGAATATAATGCTCTATGAACCGAATCGCTGAACACCGAGTAGCAAGTTGTTTGCACCGCGTAGCAAGATGTTCGCAGCAAACCAGATGCTAAACCGACCCCAAGTCAGGGGCAAACTGATTATGGAAAAAGCACAGAACATGACAAACTAGCCACCGGATATAAAGAAAGCTGCACCGCTAAAATTGATCCAAGCACCGAGCATAAAGCGGCTGGCAGTGAGCATAATGGCTTTCACACCAGGTATAATGTGGAAAGTACCGAGCACCTATGATAAAGAGGCGAGTATAAGGTGAGTGGCACCGATTATAGCAACCAGAGCACCGAATATCATGATACAAGCACCGAAGATGATAAGAAAAGAACCACGGATAAGAAAACAAATTATCATAAGACAGTTGTGGCGTTCCATATATTTTAAAAATAATTAAGTCAAGAAGGTATTATCTTTAAAGGAAAGAAACCTTACTGAGGGGGNGGGGGGGGGGGAGAGGGCGAGTGACAGGCGAATGCGAGTGATATTTGCCTCATGCCTCTCCCTTTCTCTTTGCTTTTCATGTAGTGTTTGCTTTTATTTTTTTTGTCTTTTTTGTTTTTTTTGTTTTCGTGACCAATTTTATTTCGTGTAGCACTCTGCCAACAAAATTTTATTATCAATCAGAGTTTTATTCTATTTTCAGAGCTTTTGGTATTCCAGTCATCCTTTTTTCTTCTCTCAATCATCTTTTGATCAAGTAATGTGTTTTTGATAAAAAAAACCTTTGTTATTCAAGAATTGGTCATCCAAAAGCCCTTTCTCAACACCAAATGTAATGCGCCCTTCATTTTTTTTTAGATTGCGCAGATCTTTCTTGTGGGTTGCGGCTTGCTGCATACCCAGTGAGTGTGCGCGTGTGTGGGAGAGGTACGCTTTCGCCACAATTCCTTCGGCTCCCTGTTTTTTAAATTCGCTCTGTAGCAGATGAGATGAGTCCACTTTAAAGAGATAACCATGGACTGAAAAAAACTAGCCCTTTATAATTGTCAGGTCAAATTATTTACGATGAGGAAGTCCTGACAAGGCTAAGAATTCTGTAATGTAAACTCAGTTTAAGCCTCTTTCATTCAGCATATATTTTTGCAGTTGTATATCCGATGACTATCATTGCTTCGAATATATCATTACAAGGAGGTTATGAGTTAAAGAGGTATGCACTGTACAGAAAGAAGTTGTCTAAACTGTAAACGAGTTGATGACCTTATCGGAGTTTTGAGGTTTCCGCATGAGGCAAATATGTTTGTGGACAGTGTCGATCATTTACTATGTACCAGGGTAAAAATAGGAATAATAAATACAATAAAAACGATTTAAAATGCAACAAAAACAAATGCAACGTTTGAGGAAGTTAAAACTAATTAAGAGATTCCAGCTCATTATCCATTTGGCATAAAGCTCAGCAGTTTAAAAATAAATGGGAAAAACCAAATCAAAACTGATTAAGTGGCATTACTGTAAAAGAGAAACTCGTAATCAAAGCTAATGGATCATTTTTGGACGACTGTTGATCCTTTGTCCTTATTTCACAAACTTATTCGGAGCAGTATCAAAACGTCGTTTAAATCCTTCTTCAACAGCAAATTTTGTCGGCAAGATCCTTACGGTTTATGAAGTGATGTCGCAAGGCGTTATGTAATACTTGGTAGGTTGCATCCGAGCCCTCTTTCTGTTTCCAGTGAAGCAACATTTGATATGCCTTTTCGATGTATTCTTCATTTTCTTTGTGAAACGCAACCAGCTCTGGTTCCTCAATATTTAAACATCGTCCAAGTAGCTTCCAGTCCACACCGATATTTTTCGAAATGAATAGTAATTCTTCTTTCTTGGGCATTCCATCCTTGACTGAATACGGAAAAAATTGTAGGTGATGTTTAGAAGATGGTTTTGATAAAGTAATTCTTGTAATACGTAAGAGGTAGATCTTCTCGCGTCAATCCTCCTCTCAGAGAAGTATTCTTAGATCTGTTTAGAGGAATGTATTACTTCCTACATAATTGTCTCAAAGCTGTTATGATTCTTTTCGGTTGACCATCTTCAGCTGGACATATCAGTTGTTTGATCCGAACAAATATCATCAAGCATATAAGAACTGTTCTTTTTTACCGATCTGTGTATGTTTTGCTCGAGAAAAACAAAACTTAAACGTGTAAAAAGAAACATGACAGCTGCGACGTTTTGTAATAGTTTTCCTCTAGGTTTTAAAACAAAAAACTGAGAGACGGGCGTACGATTGTACGGACGATCGCATACTATCGCTGTGGTCGCACTGCAGAGTTGAATCACGATTAAGGTATCTCTGATCACGCTTTAGCTAATTTTCAAGTGCGGCCTCGAAAATATCTTTTCGGAGATAAGGCCGACAAGGACGTAAATGACACCACGAAGCGGTAGACTTCAGACACCCAGAGCGCATTTCAAAGCGTCAAAAAAGTATGATTTACCTCGAGGTTTCTTTAAAGCTTGTCAGTTGAGCCAATCATGTGCTTGCACAAATATTGTTACTCAGATATCTTAATGCACGTGCAAAAGTTTTGCTTCTGTGATGTATTCATTTATCCTGTCGAGCAGGAACCAAGTCTGAAATTTATTGTGCGATGTCATAGACATCACATTCCCCTGATCGATCGTTGCTCAAAGTCTCGATCGCACTCGTTCCGCTGGTGTTACAATAAACAAAGCTAACAGAGAACCAAGTCTACATTTTCGGCCCAAATAATACATACGAAGCCTTTTGAGACGACACGAACGTGCTTTTGCAATGGACCTCCGAAAAGTTAAAAGGCAACGAGGACGAGAACGATTTGAATTTGACCAGCCATGACGATATCCAAATTTATGGAACAGTAGAGTCAAGAATAATGTACTTTGCAAAAGGAAAGCGATCATGTGTATTGGGACGACAGCTCTGATATGACCGGTAAATTGCGATTTACAATAGGCCTATTTTAAATCATGATTAATTAGACTCAATAACGATTGCCATCTCTAGTGTAACCACAACCACTGTAGACCGAAAATATCACGCAAATCAAGAGAAAAGGCTAGCAAGCATGCACGCAGATATCTAGAGAAAGAGAATGCACGAATGGAAGTGAAGAGGAAGACATGAAAGCAGGAAATCAGACAAACATAGGCAGACACACAGACAGTCGTATAGGAAGACAAACAAAATACAAGCAACGAATAGTCCAGATCGGTAAAAGTTTACCTCCTGTGTCCATGGTATTGTTAGATTCTGAACGCTCCATTCCAGGGCTCCCTGCTGATGCCTGCCAAACAACTGCAGGTCCAGGTGCACCGAGGTAACTTGGTCCTAAACAAAAGATAAACACTTAGGCCCTCCACAGACTATGGATTTAGTTGTCGACAACTATTAATTTTGTGATCGACAACTAAAAAACGTAGTCAGTGGCGCAAGTTGTCGACAGCTAAACCGCAAATTATTAGTTGTCGACATCTAATAGTTGTCGACGGCCTCATTTTTTAGCGTTTTTCTAGTGTGTAAAAACTTTTGTTTTAGTTGTCGACTACTTTTAGATCTCCGCGTTATTGTGTCAGCCGCTTTCCCCGCCGGCTTAAAACATGGAGGATTGCAGAAGTAAAATAATTGGTAAAGAAAACATTCTGTTTGATCTTCCTTCTCCATATCCCGTTCTTGGAGGTGGAAACGACACTAACGATGTCATTATTGCGGCGGCCTGTGCCCACCAAAAAGTTCTGATGCAGGATATTTTATCCAAAACGATTGAACAGCATATTTGGCGCAAAGTTCGTTCGAGGGACTTTTGGCCAACGTACCGTAGAAACTGGAATGACGGCGATTTTATCACCAATTTGCGAGTAGACAGGGGTACGTTTCTTCTTATTGTTGAAAGACTTACCCCTTATGTTCACCGAGAAACGACAAGAATGAGGTAGTCCATTGATGTCGATGAAAGAGTTGCTGTGGTGTTATGGCGATAAGGAGCATGCGCAGTAAGCTCTTGGTGCCCAACTTCCCCGCGTATCGGTTGCTAAATCAGTATTTGAGCGCCAGTGTGTGGAATCCTTTATCGGACTTATTTAGTTGTCGATAACTTTTAGTGGTCGATCACAAATAGTTGTCGACAACTAAATCCCTAGTCAGTGGAGGGCCTTAAGAAAGAAAACTAACGCTCTCTTCGCCGAAAGTGTTAACATGAAAATTAATTTAATGCCTCAGATTACTAACTTTTTATAACAGCACTGAGATTGAATTAAGAAGACAATTAATGTTCTCTTACTAATCCAGCAACCTCAGTTTCTCTGCTCATAAACAATTCGATGCTCAGTGGTTCACGACAACTTTAACAATTGCACATCTACCTAGCAAAGTTGACTCTTGTCAGAATTTTTTAAAGGGAATGCGAAGAGGAATTCTAAGAAAGAGAATGAATGAAAAACTTTATTTAAGTGTCTATGTTTTTAACTATAAGCTAATGGGGGACACTAAAAAATTTAAAAGTCAAATACATTTACATATGTAGATGATAGTTATTTACAGTAGATAATTAAAAAGATCATAAAGTTATTTAGTTAAGTTTTTTAAATTTCAACGAAAGTTGAAAGGTCGACTTTTCTTATGTTCTTCTTGAACGAATTTAGAGTTTCTATCGTTCTTAGGTGTCTTGGTAACTTCGACCAGATGAGAGGTCCCATATATTTAATAGAATTCCTACCAAATCTTACAGTTTCGAATCTTGGCAGTTCGAAGTCACTATTCCGTAAATTATATTGAGTGTTCTTTATATTAAATAAGTCTTTATATATATAGAAGAGAAGAAATTTAAGGAAGCTTTTTCATCCTGAGCTTGGCTGATCGTTTTGGTTGCTAAGTCTGTATAAGCTATTTTGTATATTACTTTGATTCTAGCTGTTAAGTTTTAATGTGGATGCTCTGAAATATGCCAAACTAAAATGATCGTAAAATGAAATTTTTGCTAGAAAACTGTGGAACTCTTGAACTCTAGACAACTGATATTTCCTTGTGTTTTGACGTCATTATGTTCCCACCAATTGTGTAGCTCCATTTTTCTGTATACAGACCACACACAACTAACAATTCTTCTATTCACTCTGACGAAGAGCTAACGCTCGTCAGCTTAGAAACTCTCTAATTTTTAGTATCAACTCATTAATAAAGCCGAATTATCTGGTAAGAAAGTCGTAATCATTATGGTCATGCAATTGATAAATCGATTGGGATACATGTATGAGAACCAACTATTTGGTTTAACTAAAAGGAAAGTAGCATCACCTTTATAATGAGGCCAGCTTTGGAAAACAACGGAGTCACTTAACATATTTTCCACGACTGAAGCTGCCATCACACTTGCAAAGGTCCTCCATTCTTCTCTATTGCCTTCAGTACCATTTGCATATCCTGATATTCCCTTAACGACCACCCACTCCATTTTCAAGTCATACGCTGCAACATAAACCCCTTAGGAGAGAAAAATATTACTCCATTTAACCAGGTTAACCTAAACGCTTTCTGTGTGGGTGCCTTAAAGAGGATTTCGTATTTGTAATACACATGCATTATTGAGAGAATTAAGAACTATCAGTGAGAGCAGTTTATTCCCAGACACTTTTAACGGTTTCCCAAAAGATAAGTGTTTCTTAAATATCTTCCATCAATTCCGAGACTGGTTTCTTTCTCTGTTTCCCTTGGTCTGCAACCGCTGTTATCCAAACGGAACCCCCTAGGTTTGGAACATATCTGCTAGGGGCTATGAACCAGCTCTCGCTAATTTGAACCCATCTTCAAAACTTACATCTTTTAGTTTTCTCTCCATCGTGAAATTACCATGTTTAGTCACTCAACCTTTGAGTCTACGCTCCTTCGATTTTGGACATAGCCGGAATTCCCAAATGATTACTTGAGTGACAAAGGAATTTTTTCCAAGTAATCTTTTCGATCTTTTTCATATCCACTAACGGACATAGGCCGAAGGGGGGGGGTCCTAAAATGCAGTGATACCGGCAAGACAATTGCTTTGAGTGACGTTTCAATATACTTTTCGAAAAACTTTAGGCCTGTTTTAATCAATACCGATATATCTCTATCCTTAGAGTTTAATAAAGAAGCTATGAGAAAATTCAAAGGATACAAATCTGACCTTCAGCCTCCATTTCAATTGCTTTGGCATTGGGATAAAGACGAGTCAGTTCGTCACATCGCTGCTTGCTACAGACATGCTCTGGGCCACTCAAATACTCTGCATCGCAATGAACTTCAATTTCTCGTGAAGTAGGGTCGAGCAAAGGTGGATTCCAACCAGCGGCTGCATCCTTAATAAGTTGTAACATGTCTCGACTTACAGGTACACGAGCAGGACCTGTTGACTCACTATTCTGGACGTTTTGAGAAGCATACTGAGTTAACTTAGAACACACGACTACGTCTCCCAGTCGCGTAGTACAACGCTGCAACCCACTGCAGTACCCCACAGCGAAAACTGCCTTAGGCTGGAGTATGGTCACGGCATTTTTCACGGTAATTGTTGACCCACTAGGTGTGTTAGCACCTTCCTGGCATTTAATCAGCGCTACTTTCAACGGTTCATCTATACCTATTCCCCCAAAATAAATATAACCAAGTACTTGGATGTAGCTTTTGAAGGAGTTTTTTAACAACTTATGGCAACTTAGAAACTCGCATTCCTTAACGGTGAGCAGCATAATGTCTATAGGTAGGTTGACATCTTTCCAAGGTTTCTGATTTCTTGGCAGGTCTCTAGTTTTGGGAAGAGTGAAGTCCCCAGCAAGAGGTGGTGGTTTGTCGGAAATGTTTTTCGTAGTGGTCATCTTGATTTTGTAGCTCTATATATTATTTTGTGTCACGGGCTTGAAGGTTCCAGCAATTGACAGCAACTGAAGTAAAATCAAAATGTAAAAGAAAAATGTAGATAGAAGGTGGATAGCAGTCTAAAATTTACAAAGACAAAAACCCTTGCAAACTAATGCAAACTAAGATACCGGTAGCTAAGTCTAGCCAAATAAATCCTTTTCAGGGGATTTCAATTCTTGGTAGTTTGCAGGCACCTTAAATGCACCCCCCCCCCTCCCATTCTCCTCCCCTCAGCTCCTATATAATTTAAATTAATCTTTTCTGGAAGGTTTATGCAAAGACAGATTCTCAGAGGAGTAACCATGGCATTGAGAAAATTATAAAATGGAGCTTATCAGTTCTCTGAATTGCCCTTGCACACACCCTCCTACTCCAGTATAGATTTTCCCCCACCTAAGATTGAACAAATGCAACCCATCTAGTGTAGAAAGATATTTCAGTTGGCCACCAAAGATTAATGAAATAGATGAATAAAAGAGTAAACTTTTTTTATAATTATAGTTAGTTACATGCTTGGGACAGTGGCTTAATCTGGATAACACTACCAAAATGGCCGGTGCATCACACAAGCAATAGGTTGACCAATCCACAATACAGAAAAATATAGTGAACTGCTCGAAATTATGGGTAAATCAACCATTTTGATGTAAACACATAGTTTTGAAATACCAGCTGTAGGTGCATAAATGAAAATGGAATTAACATTTGACAAAAGAACTTTAACATCAACAAATCTGCTGAGCTGATTTCACCTAGACAAATTGGACTAAAATTTGCCAAAATCTTCAGATCCATGAAAATTCACTCAGCTTGACAAAATTTCATCAGATCGGCCATTTTTGTTCCTGTGTGCATTTTGGTCAGGTGGCAGACAGCAAAAAAGTGATTTTCGCTAAACATTTTGAGTAGAAGCAGGAAACATAGCTTAAAATCTTCTTCCTATCACTCTGATTAAGAATATTGCTGTTTTCAGCTTGAAATTTTTGTGTTTTGGCTTGGCACAGGGGTGTTTCTTTCAGGCTCTCGCGCCTACAACATGGAAACGAGGCTGAACTGGTTATGGTAATAAAAGCAAGGCAAACAATACCACATTGATGAAAATTAGTCATATGATTCAATAAAAGGGTAACAATTTGTTGACATCAAAACGACGGCACTAGAATGGTCACGTGACCACTTTTTCTCTTGGAGCATGAAAGGGAGGCTAGAGAAAAAGTTTATATCAAAGAGTGGAATATGCTTAAAACTTTGCAACATTCATCGCTTCAAAGATTTAGTTCACACCTATGATAAATGTAGTACCTTTTTCTTTGGGGATCTCAACAATATATTTTTGTAATAAGTGACTGCTATAAATTGAAGTGTTTGAAATCGTTAAAATGAATATTTTCCTTTGTCTGCTGATGTTATGGACCAGGGGGGTCAAAAAGGCCAAAAAAAGAAAAAAAAAATGCACTAGAATCTGGCCGCGAAGTTGACGTTGACACTCTCTTACAAAGAAAACTTTCACCAGTTCCCCTATCGATAGCTACTCTCGACGGATGCCTGTGACTAGCTTCGAGCAAGTCCGTCGGATCTTGCTAGTATCTTACACAAGAATGTGGATCAAAGTCAGCCCCCTACCAGCCAGTGCCAGACATGTACTATTATCGATGGAATGGCAACCGTCCAATCCCTTGGATATACTACAGGTGCAAAAACGTTTGGAGAGTGGAGTACCAATTTCACGGCGTTCGTCGTCTCCCACTTTTCAGGCAAATGCACCAGAGTAGATGTGGTATTCGACCGGTACAATCCAAATTCTATCAAGGAAGTTACTAGAGCAAAACGGAAGAAGGGGAAGAACAAAGGTATTACAAGAAATGCGGAGAGCAGGGAGCAACGAATTGGTAACTGGGACAGGTTTATTGTCGTTGAAGAAAACAAGGCTAGCCTTGTCCATTTTCTGTCCACTGAAATTTCACAACATTATGAGACGCATCCTAGACGCGAGCTGGTGGTTAGCGGAGGGTTTAAAGACATACTGAAGGTATAGTCATCCGATGCATCTAGAGAAAGTTTGCAGGAGCTGTCTTCCGACCACGAGGAGGCAGACACTCGAATTGTACTTGATGCTAGAGACGCAACCGATAGAGGTTACCAGCAGGTGAACATCTTGTGTCGTGACACAGATGTTCTTGTCCTCCTATTGGCATTCAGAAAAGATCTCTGTAAAGAAATTTTGATGTTCTCCGGTACATCCCGAAGAAAGAAATACATTCCAGTTCATAACATCTTATTGCCAGAAGAGAAGAGAAAGTCGCTCCTTGCATTTCATGCAATCAAAGGCTGCGATAACAGCAGCCAGTTTGCCGGCATCGGTAAACAATCAGCTTGGAAAATCCTTGAAGGTACACCAGAGCTTATCGAGCATCTAGGCGAACATTGCCCTCCACTCGAAAGCGTCTTGGCCGATTCCGAAGCATTCGTACGTCAACTCTATAACCATGTAACAAATGGCAAAGATATAAATAAGGACCGAGCATCAGCATTTCGCAAGGTGAAAAAGAACCTTGATTCCTTTCCTCCGACAAAGGATGCACTGCACCTTCATATAAGGAGGGCGAACTACCAAAGCATGATTTGGAACAAAGCAAAAGAGCCTCATCTATCCCTGGCTAGTCCAGAAGAAAATGGGTGGTTCTACAAGGAAGGAGTTCTTAAGCCGAAGTTGACAAATCAAGAGGAACTATCAGCATCGTGTTTACAATTAGCGTTCTGCGGATGTTCGTGCAATGATTCGACAATGATAGTTGTGTCAACTGCCGATGTACTTGTGTTCGGTTGTCTCTTGGATGTACCAAAGGTTGCAAGTGTGGACACACGTGTAGAAACACTAGAAACAATTCACTTGACGAAGAAGAAGTGTGACTAATATAGATTTAGTTCAGACAGCCTACATTGCAGCAGCAGCAGGTTTTTGTTATCTTTTCTTTTTTCTGATCAAACTGTGTGCACAAGTTAAAAACCTGCAGTGACTATCCCACACGAAAATATCCTTTGCATACAAGGAAAGCTAAGGAATAAAAGTGCATAAACAGGGACTCTTCCAAGCAGTGAATGATTATATTCATACGCATTTAGCCTTGTTTTGGCGTTGTGCCCGGGAAATAGGCTTTGTTGTCACACAAGATTAGCTAGAAGAAATAGAAATATCGATCAATAGAAACTGTGCTTTTTAATGCATTTTATTGAAAGAGTCTGACTGCACAAGTAGTGCAGTTCTCAAGTGACCATTCTATAAGCAAGCAAAATTTTGATCAATTCCAACCAAGGGCAAAAAGTTTCTACAATCATATAACTGATATTTCCATCAGTTTGCTAGACTTCATTGTACATTTGATCATGTCTTGTTATTAGCCTCGCTTTCATGCTTAGAGGGCGAATCTGGTCACGTGACCATTCTAATGCCGTGCTTTAGATGTCAACTACGTGTTAAGCCTTTTATTAAATCGTATGACTAATTTCCATCAATGTGGTACTATTTGTCATGCTTTTATCAGTTAACCAGTGCAGCCTCGTTTCCATGTTGTAGGAGTGGGACCCTGAAAGAAACACCCCCTTAAATGCCAAAATACTAAAAATTTCAAGCTAGAAACAGCAATATTCTTAATCAGAGTGACAAGATGAATATTTGAAGCTATGTTTCCTGCATCTACTCAAAATGTTTAGTGAAAATGAAAAATAACCACGTTTTCAAGCTGGGCCTCCTGACTATTTTTGGACCTAAGCGGTAAAGTGTTATGTAAATCATGTCAAAAATACGTTTTCAATGTGTTGTAGGTGGACTTGTCCTAGCAAAAGTTGGGTCCACAAGACCCTTACACAGTTTAGTACATTAACCCAGAGTTCCAAGCGCAACACTATCTTTTCCCATATTGCACATTGGATATATAATCAGTCCATGACTGACACTCTATCTAAATGCAATCAATCATTCATTCATTCAATCAATCAGATTATTAATCAATGATAAATAAAAGCAGCTGAATCAAAAGTTCAAAATTTTACCATCCAGGGTGACTAAAATTGGCTACAAAATTTCAGAAAGTTTACTTAAATTATAAAATTATTCTTAAACCCTGAGCTACCAGTAACTATACCATAAATACCTCAATCAACTAACCAATCAATCAGCCAATAGATTTACCTGTATCAATCAAAAGTACACTTCCCTAATTTGAAGTCAGTTATAAAGTCTAAAAAAGGATTGTAAAAGGCATCTGAATGAACGCTTAAAAAAAAGAAATAAACAAATAAATAAACAAGCTGTGGTTTTCAGATTTTCAGCACTGACAAAATTACCTCTCAAGCAAGTATTAATTGAACAAAGGAGATCTGAGTTATCATGTTTAAATTATGTTCATAACTGGGTAAATTTGTGTGATTCAAATTCATTAAGACAAGCTTGCTTTTTATTACTTAGTTTTGCACCATGGTAACCTGTTTATTTGAACTTTCAATAAGTATGCGAACCATAATTGGTGCATTCAGCAGGCTAACTGTATTTCAACGTATGGCCGCCACTTAAGCCAAAAGTCTGTTTGAACGGTCATCTTCCGCTTCTGTTTATAGGTGGCCTGAGAGATGTCATAAGTATCTTTAGTTACTCACTGCATTGCTTAGTCTGTGCGGTGTTAAAGTTACACAGAATCATATGACAGAATCTAGTATTTATCCACTTGGATTTATGGCCTGCATGCTTCATGCTTGTGCCATAAATCAGAATGCAATAAGACTTTGGTCCATAACTTACAGTGCAGACCTCAAACTTGGTAACAATTAGAGAGGCATGTATTAAATGCACTGAATTGTGATAGAGATTTCAATATTCAAAACATTTTATATACTTTTTTGAAATTTATGAAAACAATTGGTTTTAATATCATGAAAGTGGCTCATGCTTCAGCTGTGCATTCCTCAAAATGTCTAGAGATCACTCAAGAAGTTAGAGATGATCTTGACTGCATCTCAAACAGCCCCTGGGCACCTTTGGGATTCTCCAATTTTTTGTGTGATTCATGAATATGTCAATGAACACATCCACCCCCATGAATGAACCAATTGTGTATTAAATATAATGTGGAAGTTTTTTTAATCATTTTTAATACTCATCAGGCAATGGCTATTATAACATAAGTATTCAGTCAGTCCTTAGGAGAGAGATTATTTCACAATTTTTTTCTTCCAAAATACATGTCAGTGAGATCACAACTCATCTTATTTTTAACCATCTAATTTTTTGCCAAAGAAAATGCATTCATGAACAATCATGCTTGCAATTGATTTATCATCACTGTTTTTTGCCGGGAGACCAGAGTAAATGTGCTTAAACAAATCAGAGGCTGATCAGAGCTGATGAGATTCCAAGATTGTTTATATTATATTTTACTAGACCTCCAGTTTTTATAGGGTCAGGTGGCCATACTGTATCTAGTCCAATATCAACTCACTTTTAAATGTAAATTGACCACTGTAAATAATTTCTTTGGCTGAAGTTTAAAGCATGAGCCCTTCGTCAGGGCAAACCTCTTTAGAGTGTCCCTTTACATTTATCAACTCAGTTGATAATAGCAAATTTCATAATCTTCTAATATCCTCCACCAATGCAATCCCACAGTTTCTTCAGAAACTTGATATCTTCTTTATCTATTGTTTCATAAAATAAACATACTGCACCCCATAGTAACTATGTGTGCACCCTAAATCTGTGAAAAAAAAACTGTCTCAAGATTAAATCAATAATCTTTCATGAAACCAATAAACTAGTCCAGCACTGTCTGCCTTTTGTAATATAAAAGCAGATTTTTTGTTGTTTAGAAATAAGTTGGTCAAAATGTATCGTGCATCAATATTATCCCATAACAAACTTCAGAGCAAATTAACCTGTTCATGCACAAGATCTCATTTGTAACTCTCCTTTTTGCCTTCTGTACAATTTTGTGACATGAGTTGGCATTGGATCAACTATTCATACCCAAATTGATATTGTTCTTTATTCTCATCAATTGTCTGCTTGACTATTGTATTTGACAATGAAAGGAGAGATTCTGTTTAATTGGCAGGGGTTGACACTAACTTTTTAACTTTACTAGCCATGTGGCTAGTGACATCTTAGAATATATTACGACAATTTCAGTTTGACTAACCAAACCGGTTAGTGGAAATTACAGAAAAACCACTAGCCAAAACTGAATTTCAACTTGTCTGTGGCTAGTAGGCTACCATTAGTGTAGAGCCCTGTTTGGTCACTCATGGTAAGGATTAATGCCTCCTTATAATATCTATACATTATCTAACACAAAAAGGAATTGAAAATACTCAAACTTATCAGGTACAAGATGTAATCTTGATCTAAAACCGAATCATCGTAACTAGTTTACAAGAAAATGTGCAGTTGCTAAAGGGGAAAATTAACAATCCGATCTTGGGAGTTAAAAGGTTAAGTATTTACTACCAGGTTAGAACAGCATTTTTCGTAAGAAATATCACACATTTTCGAGTGAACAACGTTAAAGTAAAGAAAATGTTACAGTTTTGTCACGAGCGTAGGATAAAACAACGGTCGTCAAGGCCTGCTTTAAAAATCGAATCCCAGAACTGTTAAGTTTGTTAACTTCTGAGCAGCAGAACAGTCCCTTTCATAAATGTGACATTAATTTTGCAAGAAGCAACTTCAAAAACCCACTTCGTGTGAAAATGTATGATCACTGCAACCCTTCAAAAACCTGAATGTTGCCATTTATTTTATAAACCGGAAGTAGAAGTTGATCGCATGGAGACGAATGATTATCCTCATTTGCAATTTGAACGCGAAGAATGAAGTGGTGATACAACAAGAAAAACCTGTGTTATTAGTTAGAATAAGTTGAAAACACTAAAGGGCATGGAAGTATTACAAATCATGCTTAATCTAAATTACAAAACTTATGATGATCGAATTTGCCCACTGTCAACACTTAGATGTATATATGTAGGTCAATTTAAGGTTAGCGCAAAACTTTGACAATGATGTTTAACTTAAATAATCTCATCGATTGCTGGGACGATTATAGAGAAAATAAAACAACAAGTCAACATTGCAATAACAAACCTCCAATCCCAAATTGCTAATGGTCAAACCGCCATACATCTCGTATCATCGCAGAATACACCGATTTACTTGGGAACGAGGCTACATCGTTAAAATATGGACGGGACTTTTGGGACTTCCAGAACTAGACAACAGCACAAGTAAGCTCAGACGACGTTCGTACAATGGATTTAGTAGAATATGAAAAGATACCTAAAGGACCTGACTTCTGAAATATTGGCCCATTTTACGTTCAAATAGTAACAAACCAACATTCCAAATTCCAATTCGATCTGGAAATAGTGGACAACAAGAGCCACCCAGTGGAATGTCCATTGCTAAATTATTATTTATTATTTATTTATTTACATGAAAACGCGGTGTAAAAGAGTCAATCAGAAAAGTGTGACAGCTTTGGGATCAAGTAATGCAAAAGGAATCGTAATGTTACTTAGGAAAACTTCAAACTTAATAAAGGTATAAATGGAAATGACCTGGATAAAGTGGCATGGGGCTACATACTTCGCATGTACGAAGAAAAGCCGCTGACAGACGTCTGCTGATGGCGCGCGTATGTCGATTGCTAAGCACTCCAAGCAAGCCCCTTGCAATCAATACTGTAACTTGACAACAGACTACCGAATTAAAGCAAGTGTGGAGAACGCTTCTTTCCAATTAGTGGTTGTAGGGTTTAAAGCTCCCTTTTCATAAGAAGAGTGACTGAAAGCTACTCTGATCGAATCAGATGAGAACAGGAGAAATGAATTTGAGAGAAAGGCGCGTAGTGTTTCCCCATTAAATTTATCGCTTCGTCTTACTCAGAACAGACACAAAACATGGACGACGTTGGCTTAATTGCACTGGTTTTACAGCCGCAAGGCTGTTATCACGCTTTACCAAAGGAACTATTTTCGTTCCGAGTCATTAATTCAAATGATCACATGGATGTGAAGTCTTTGGAATTCTGATCCAATGAGACACTACAATACAGTTACTTGTATCGGCACACGGGTAAGAGAAACCGAAACGCGACTAAACTTGGAAATTTGAAAAAGCCTTTTGGTCTCAATTTTGATTCAGCCTACTTTCTTTTGGAAATTATTCAGGAAGTAATTAATGAGCATGCAGTACATTCCGCTCACGAGTGTCTTTTGACCAACCTGGCTATCCACGTGCAGCAAATGATACCTCCTAGATTAAACTAGGAGTTATTAAAAGTTTTACCTTTAGTTCAGCGCAGATTGTCAGAATATGTTGAATTCTTCAACGAGAGAGGCCATTATTGATACTGATCCGGGATGGACACATCCTTTTTTTTGGTCTCTCATGCTCGAACTTTACTTGACAAAGGAAGTACCTTTATTTACGAATGCCTGTTGTAGAGCTCGTCCTTTATCACATTTTTCAACTTTTTGGTGACTTAGTGTCTCGCAGAGATACATAGTTTATTTTGTACAAATGGCCCCTGGCATGTTGATGATGTGCGCATCATTGCCGTCTTTTTAAGCTTAATATCGGAGGAATGCAGCCAACCAGAACAAAACAGTTGCTTGCTAACTTTATGATTGTAGTATCTCAGCTCTTTTAAAATCATCTGAGGTTTCATGGTTCTGTAGACATTTATGGGTCCATTGAATTCTTAAAGTTCTATTTCAGGAGTCACCTTATCATCCTTGTATGGAAGACGTTCTTAATGGCCGGAAATAACATTTTGACAAAGTTGTTTTTAGGAAATCGAAAAATATTTTCATTCATTGCAACCGAAGACTTCCTGTCTGAATAACTGACGTTCTCTTTTCTAAGAAAAACCGGAAATGCCGCATTCGCAGGATCACGAAGGTTCCTGTTAAGACAACTGGCGTTTTCTTCCCCCCCCCCACCCCCTCCTGCTCTATGGTAGTTTGTATTGAATGAGAATATTCTACTCATTTACGCGTGGTTAGCCCCTTTGTCGACGAGTGTTGACATCGTATTTTGCATTAGCGATTCCATTTGCCATCATTAGCTCCACTAGGCACGAACGAGTCTCGTGCATCCGTTTCCCACATTTACTACAAGTTTCTATACTGACGAAAAGTAATATGAAGTGCAAGCAATTCATGAAGCTCTACATTCCTTTGCTTTTGTTGATCAACTTTCATCAGATCTCGTCCACGCCGTCGTCTGAAAAAGGAAACACTATGATGGACGACCCGACAGAGACTTACACCTGTCTCAAGTATGACTACCAGATTCATGAAGCCCTAGCCTCTACGAAGCCACCCTTCGACAACTACTTCAACATCTCACGTGCTATCTTTCCATCCGAAGATATATCCTCTAAACTTGTCAATATCTGGGTGCATTTTACCAACTCCTCTTTTAATCTGACTGAGGTCAATCAATTGAAGTTCGTTTGGAGTCGGTCTTGTTTGTACGTCAGTGATCGATACCTCAGTCTTATGGCAATGGGCCTCTACTCCTTGTTTACCATTTGGCCGGACAGGGGGCAAGAAGACCTTCATATAACACTCCATCAGTTTTGTGATCCATGGCAAACAACGAGAAAGCTTATTAACTTTTTGTCAACGGTAAGACAAGTTTTAGTATTTTTTATTTCCAACGGAAGTGTTTTCGAAGTCTGTGCTTTAAATTTTGTATCCGTTAGCTACGTTGCAATTGGGTGACGATTTTGCAACACAAACCTCAGCAAACTAGAGCAGAGATTTGTATCTCACGTTCGCATAAGTAATATCTGAGTAAGCTCAAAAGCTTTGTTTACAAGTATTGTTCAGAAAGTTATAGAAAGCTTTGTGAGGAAATGACTTTAATGTTTGGTTTGTGAGAGTGTTGCGACAAAAGAAGCAAACCAAAACTTACAGGGTCACTTTCAAAGTACAACAATATACCATTGCACTTGAATGAAAACGCTCCTGTGGAACGCAGTCGCCTAGCACTTTTCCAAACATCTCTTAAAGTCCTCCGAAGTGTTTTGGTATCGAATTATAATTAGAAAAAAAAAAAACAAACACAAAAGAACAACTGGTCGTCGACGTGCTCCATGCAACAAAGCGGCACAAATCAACCTTGGAATTTCTTTTAATTTGGCCCGTTCTTATTTGGTTTTTCCCTTCTTAACAGCTGGAGGACATCGCAATAAGTCCATCTTCGCTCAACCCATCACTGAACAGTGTGGAATGTGTTGCAGCCGACGGAGGCTTCGAGCATTCTCTCCAGAACGTCAACAAAGCATTCCCTCAAATATGCTGGCTCATCCTGTTTTCTTCTCTAAAAGGAAGCAACTTGATACGCATGTTAGTTTTGAAATATTGTTGGCAACGTCGTGGGGCAAAATCGATTTTGTCATTGGTGTTTGTTGCTTTCTTATGTGGGACATTTCTTGCGATCGTCACTGTAATCTATAGTAGCCAGGCCCAAATAATTTACCCTTTGACGTACCTTTTAATCATTCTGTTCAGTTGTTTATTTTCCTCTGTTTACTACTTGTTTCAAGCGCGTAAAAGCACCATTAATCAAGCGCGTAAAAGCACCATTAATATTGTGTGTTTAGAATTTAGAAATTACGGAGAGCCGCAATCGGGAAGTGTATTGCTTTGGACGGCATATCCCGGAATTTTCGTAGCCATTCATCACGCACTATGGGTTATGATAGGTATTATTACTGAGCCTTACTGGGCCCTACCAGTGGCAACATCTTTCATCATGTTTGCATTTTTATTCTATGTATTGTCTGCGCTTTATTTCTCAACCGAAGATTGGAATACTTCGGCGAAAATTAACTTTGGATTCATGGTTGCTGCAGGCATATCGGTCGTGATGATTCAGCTATCGTTTCTCTTAATCGGAAATCAGTTCTTTGACGAAAGTCTACTTTCCAGTGCTATTCAGAGCGCTTTGGTCGTTATGATAAGCATTTGGTTCCGCTCTATCAAAGACGAAAAAGGCTATGACGAAACAGATTATGCAGGTAATAGCAAGTCTGAAAAAATTGAACTTGAGTAGACGATAAAAGTCTACCACTGTTTAATCGTTAAGAAAATTAATAGCATACTTTGTTATACTTTTTACCTATCATAAAACGTGATATGAGCGTCATGTTGTGTCAGAAACCAGAAAAAAAAGCTTTTTACGTCTTCCTTTGTTCACTTGTCGATAGTTACGCCGATTAGTAAGATCAATGGCCAATCTTCCTTTTGCAGAGCACTGCGACAAATAGAAGTCAGTCCAGGCTGTCTTGAGATAAATAGTGACCAAGGGAGATGGCCGATTTATTGCCTAAAACTTACATCAAAATTTGTTATAATTTGTTATTTACAAATTTCCACCTCTTAAGCACTAGAAAATATAAAGGCACAATAAAAATTCAAATGCTGGAAGGAAGAGGGTCGGAAGAGGGTCGAGCTTGCTGAGTGTGTCAGGTCTGGAGACGAGCAAGACGAACTCGACAAATATGCCACTCCTTTCCCTGATCGCTGATGGCTCAGTTATTTGCCATTAAATCTCGTGGCGCTAAGATACCAATGTCACTAGTTAGCCTTGTGAAGGTTTCATGATTACTACTCACTCCATTTTAGAATTCGAAGCTGACTCTGTTCTAGGCCTATCTCTGGCCTATCTATTAACCCATTTGGTACTATAAACAATAATTCACTCCAGTAAGTGAACTGATGTGGATCGCAACATTGATATTCTGCCACACATTCATTACGATTTACACTGCATGAGTGGCCATATGTGATTCAGTGTGTGAGAGCTGAGCCCATCGCGCCTTAGGAGATATTTAAGTTGTGGAACAGTTGAATTAATGAGTGAATTAAACATCCTGTATAGTGTGATTGACATCGATGCATTGATGCATTGACTTTGTAAAGTTGTGCTCTCATTCCCATCAACTTGTTTGGAAATACCGCACTTTGTTAAGTGGGTCTCCGTAGTTGTTTGGTAAGTCTTTGAAACATCAATCTTTTCATCTTAAGCGCAGTATCAACACTGCTGACTGAAAGCGGATGAATGAAAGAACGTCGATTGTATCCAGTATCGTCTATAATTGCTACAATAATATAAAGCAGCTCTGTCGATGTAACACTGATCAGGCATGGTATTTGGGTAAAAATATCGTTACGTTTTGTCGTTGATACTCAGCATATTCCATGTAAATTGAATTGCGAGAAATGGTTCTAATTCGATTTAGAAAGGAACAGGAATACTTCGTATTTCCTACTGCTGTTAAATGGCCGCGGTGGCCATAAATCAAGCAGCATCCAGAAATGTTTCATGCGCAAGCTGAGTAGAAATAAGTGCGCTGTAAGCGGCCTTACCGGTTGTCCTTTCAAGTTTCGAAATGGTCACTACAACTGGCAAACGAACAGGCGTAGGTCAGCACTCTGAAGTGTTGCATCAATTATTCAGCAGTGGCCTACACATTTATGCAAATTTCAGCAGAGAATGCCGTACATAATTAAGCACACTTGTGCATTGTGTTCTGGCGTTTACGTTCGGTCGTTATTTATTGATTTATTTATTTGCCACTCACACACATACATCTAAAAATAGAGTACATTTGTATACAGAAATCAAAAACATTAACTATAATAATACTGTTTTATAACAATCTCTACTTAAACGAGATAAAATTACAATTTAGGGTCGTTTATTAGTAATGTGGCGAGGAAGCCCAACAGAGGGTCGAAGCTTGTCAAACCTGGGTTCCTCACACGATGTAGAGGGTAGATTTGCTAACTACGAAGAGGGGCGAGTTTAATTTAGTTTTCTGTACATGGGAAATTTTTCAAAGCGAGGTCTAAAGATGGAGAATCTGTGCATGGGATAGGATAAGACCACGAGGTAGGGAATTCCAAAACTTTGGACCATAGTTGTACGGGAGAAATAAGAAGAAACTCTCGACTTAAGGATTGCGTTAGATCTTAGAATAAGATCCCATCCGGCCCTATGAGTCTTTCATCAACAAGTGAAGCTGTACGTGGCATCTTTTTTACCTACCCTTGAAAATATAATTGAAGAATTAAACCATTTGAGTTACATCTTTTTATGGAAAGGATAAGACATAGTAAATAGAAAATCTGCGATAAATGATTATGAAGGAGGAGGAATAAAAATGGTTGATACTGAAACTATGATTAAATCTTTCCGTCTCGCCTGGTTTCAAAGAATCTTTGGCGATAATTCTGGCGCATGGAAAATTATTTAGAATATCTTCTAAAAGAAACAAGTGGTCTGTTTCTTTTTAATTGCAACTGACAACGTCAAAGACTTAACTATCAGTTCTCAATTCTACATGGAGTTATTGAAATGGTGGTCTGAATTTCGGAAAGATAATGCGGTTGAAACTAATTGGCTTTACCGAATTTGGAATAGCCAGAAAATAAGAATAAACAACAAACGAGTGTTTTATAAAAGGTAGTTTAGTTATGGAATTCAAACAGTGGGAGGCCTGCGTTTCGAACTTAACAACTTCGATTGTTATGAACTAATCGCAAAACACCTACAGAAGACGTTTCTTTGCAATTGCGTCTGCCGCAGTATGAATAGAATTTTTTTGAGGTCTAGTTCAGTACTCGTTCCGACCGGGTAGATGCAACAGTATGTTTCTGAGGCTGAT